GAGTGCGCGAAACATTCTCCCCTGCACACCTTGCAAAGTGTCAACTAGGATCTGTAGTATCAAAACTACTACCAGTAAATCTCGATTAACCTCCAATTACAGTCATTTTTAAACTTTTCCCCAACCACAGAATGTTTTTTGAATCAAAAGACGGTAAAATTCTTCCAAACTTTTATGCAAAATTGACAAAAGGGTATAAAAAGGTAGGATGGTTGGACAAGGAAGCAGATTTAGCTACAGAGACTAACCAAATATGTGATATACTTCTTGAAGAAAAGGAAGGACTAGTATGGTGCGTTAAAGTTGTGGCTGGCATTCAAAATACGCAAAATTTTATAAGCTGGTACTTGGTTTCACAATACCCTGCAGCTTCCACCCCCCAAGTCCTGCCAAAGCAAATGCCTGTGACAATAATGCAGGATTAATAAACAGTGAAATAGTAGAAAAGGAAAAAAGAAACTCTAATTCTTCTCAATCTAATCAGAAAATGAAAAGGCGAAAAGGAGTAAATGATACGATTTTGTCCCAGCCCAGATGGTATGACCAAAGCTGTCACAAGAAACTCTAATTCTTCTCAATCTAATCAGAAAATTGAAGAGGAGAAAAGGGAGGTTACATGGACAAATATAATTTCTCCTCAACCTTTCCCTATAGAATTTTTCCTTAACTTCAAGTCATAGCAAATGATGTTAAAGACTTCTATTTCCATAATCAAGTGTCTCAGCTTAAGGACGCTCTCAAAAATCTGTCCGCTAGGAATGTATGCCAAATGAAAGGGTTATGATACTAAGAGACAAGTGCCATTCCGTTCAATGTTTTGGTCCTAACTTTATGGCTGCTGTGAACGATGGTAATGGGACAAAATGCTGCTAATGTCACCAGTGTTCTTCTTAGTAATGAATGCCAATTCCGATTTGGAGCCACTCTGCCTTCTTAAAAATTCCCATCCCCTATTAAACATTCTCCGTTAGTTATTATAAGTTACAAAACTGACAATTGATATCAAGTTGAATTGAAGTGGTAACCCTACAAGAACTAAGGAATCACATGGTAAAACAATCCAAAAGTTCAAAGTCCAAACCCAGTGCTTGGAACCCATTTAAACACTGAACTTAGAAATCTCTTCCTCCACTTCTCACTTGGTGATTACCTCTTTATGGTTTTCTTCATCAAGAGAATGAGAGGCAGGAAGGGCGGGGGATGGGGAGAGAAACTTAGAAAATCCTCTTCCTCTACTTCTACTTGTGAATTCTGTCTTTAAGGATTTCTTCTTCTTTTTTACTTTCCCAGTCTTGTAATTCATAGTCACTAACAAAACATTTCCCATCTCTCTAGTTAATTATCTCTTTTAAGTTTCTTTTGGTGGACGAGTTTGTAGCCAGGATCATCTCAGAGAACATAGATCCTCGGCAAACCTCCTAGCTTTATTGCATTAACTTGATACCCTCCAACAATTTTCCTTTTTCGGAAAAAAAAAAAACTCCAAAGAATAATCAGAAGACTGTTTTACTATAAACATATACATTACATTGACATAGAGCACAGAGATGACAACAAGATGTACGTTGATTTCAGAAAATAGAAAAACAAGGAAAGGAAACAAGCCTAACCTCATCCCAAGATTTCCCAGTAGTTTCAAGCAAAGCAGCGTTGCAAGTCTTCAGTTCTATGGAGGCACCTGTGAACATTGAGGCTGCCTCCTCCCAACCCCTATTATGTCCCATGCACCTGTATAGTTGCAACATGATCTAATATCATACTTTCTTGCTTAGCATAAGAATAATGAGGTAGTGAGCCAGAGGTTACATGACAGTGAGGATGTCGTCCCTTGAATAGTTACAGATAACGTGTTGAAGGTGCTCAGCTGTCTGCCCATCCATGGCGGCGATGGAATAAAAGCTTGAAATATAATGGACCTCAGCTTCCAAGAAGCCTCTCACTTGTTGCTGCATTATCGTAAGAGTTTCCCTGGTTCGCACTGCATTGCTACAGCCCAAAAACGGCAGCTAAGAAATTCGAATTGATTTAAAAAAGCCAACATGAAATGTAAATTCTGAATTAATGAGGGCAGCTACTTTCCGCTCCTAGATTGTCATCCTGCACTGTATCATTTTAAAGCACTCACAAAACAAAAGAGTGCAGGATGACAAATGAGAGTGGGAATAACACTGCCCTTAATTAGTACCTAGATAAAATAAGTTGAGGGATCCAACCCAACTGTTGGAGCTTATGAGAGACTTTGACAGCATCGGCTTGTCCAGTTTCACTCAGTGGCCGATCATGATCTACAATCATGCAAACATATTACAATGAATAGGATTTCGGATTTCTCTCTAAATAATGAAAAGAAAAAAGATAGAAATTTGAGGGAACCTTTTAGCGAAGGGTCTTCCCAGGAACTGTTAGCATGACGAAGCAGAATGAGGCGACGAGCAACGTATGGAGGAGTTTGTTCAGAATCTGAAACAGCTTTGCCCTCCACTGTCTCGATTACCAAAGATGAAGGCCTAGTAGCGTTGTTAGGGTTTCTGCGACGGATTGAAGAGGATTTGGGCCAATTGGGATTCACGGACGCTGAGAAATGATGCTGAATATTAAAGTTAATATTGTGGTTACAGAGAGTTACTGCATTCATACTGCCAGAGTTGCGACTCTTTAGAGCTAACTGTGAGATACTGAGTGAAGGATAGAACCCTCCATGGCTCGAGTCGAGAGGGTTACTTATGGTCCCACCACGTAGCTTGTGGCTTTTCTTACTTTAAAAATTTTAAAAATAAATAAAACTAGACTCGCAGCATGTGCTTTTAGGCTTGCGAGAGATTTTCTTATAAAAAAATTAAATTTATTTCAGAATTAAAAAAGATAATGAGTAATTATGTTTTATAAAAATAAAATCTATTATCTGATTTTTTTTTTTAATTTTTTAAAGTTAATTATAGTTTAGTACCTTGTACTTATAACATTAAAGCATGTTAGTACATGACTTTTCAATTTTTACAATCGCATACCTTGAGCTTGTAAATTTGTTATAATCCAATTCCACCTTAGAGTTTCCGTCAGATCTGTCTGTTAATTACCTACGTGGCATTGTAAGTATCACATTTTTTAAATTTTTATTAATTTTAAATTGATTAAAATATAAATAAAATATTTTTTTAAAAAAAAAAATCTCTCCCTCTCTCTGTATTCTCTTCATCGCGCTTCCATTGTTTCCTTTGATCTTGGCTGGGCTTTCTGCAGTCCAGAAACCCATTTGACCCCAAAATCCCAACTGCTCTCTCTCTCTCCATGACCAGAACCCATAACCCACCTGCAATTTTCTTCTTCCCCCCTCCCTTTTCTCCCTGCATTCCCCATGACCACCACCCTGCAAACCCCACGAACCCAGAACCCACGACCCCAGCCCCCACGAACCCATAACCCACAGAACCCATCCCACCCCTGCGATTTTCATCTTCCCCCTCCCTTTCTCCCTGCATTCCTCGTGACCACCACCGTTCAAACCCACAACCCACCCATAATCCACATAACTCATACCCCCCTGCGATTTTCTTCAACCCCCTCTCCCAAAACAAAACAAAAAATCCATATTTGATTAATCTGTATGTGCAAAATCTTAAACTAATATCAGAAATTAAATGCAAATTTTAAAGCGAGAATCTTGTCTGCAACATGACCTAAATTTTCTTAACAGGATTCCTGAATGCCAGGAAAATAGGATCCTCCAAAAAGATCTACATGCGATAATTTGCTTCGGTAATTCGGAATCGAGACTCAGTCCCCCCTCCCTTTCTCCTTGCATTCCTCATGACTACCAACCTTCCACGAACCCTAAACCCTAAACCCTGAACCCTGAACCCTCCCCCAAAAAAAAATCTGAATCTTCCACCGTACCCTCAGACCAAGAGAATTGTTTCTAGACATCTCATGGAAAGATAATAAAAAGAAGGAAAACAGAAAGGGCATAGATCTCTTGCATAAATTGATCGCGAATCTGGGCCCAACAGCTGGTGTTCTTGAGAACCTGGGACAATTGCTCTCGATTCCGGGTCCAAAACGTCGACATCGTCAAAACGCTGGAGCCCTTTTGCAAAAGCCGTTCGGAAAAGCTCGAAAATCCGATGGAACTCCGAGTACACGTTGTCTTGGTCTGAGGGTACAGTGGAGCATTCAGGTTGGGGGAAGAAGCAAATCGCAGGGGGGTGGGGAAACGCAGGGAGAAGAGAGAGATTTATTTTTTAATTTTTTAATTTGTTTTTAATATTTTATTCATATTTTAATCAATTAAAAATTAATAAAAATTGAAAAATGTAGGACCCACAGTTCCACGTAAGCAACTAATAGAAAAATCTGACGGAACCCTAATGGCAGAACCACATTGTAACAAATTTAAAAATTTGGAATATGTTATTGTAAAAATTGAAAAGTCAAGTATTGACATGACTTAACGTTGTAAGTACAAGATACTAAACTGTAATTAACCCAATTTTTTAATATAAAAAAGTATGAATTTACCATATTATCCTAATTTAATTAATAATTTTAATTATTAATCTATGTATATAAAGTAAAAGACAGAAAATTGTGAAATATTTAAAATATCAAAAAATACCATTGATTAATCAAAACATTAAGAATTAAAATTATTAATTAAATGAGAATAATATAATAAATTCACATTTTGTCATATTAAAAAAATTTAAAATTAAAAGAAAAATTAAATAATATATTCTATTTTTATGGAACAAAACTACCCATTATCTTTTTTAAATTTTAAAATAAATTTAATTTTTTTTTAAAAAAGCCTATTGCAAGCACAAAAGAGGTAGAGGCTAGTATTTACATTAACCAAAAGCATTTTCTAGTATTTTGAATGTTTCACTATTCTCTATCTTTTGCTTTATATATATAGATTCAAACTTTTGCTTTGTATAAAACTAGACCAATCGGTCCCAAAAACCCCCGAAAACCCTAGAAACACTCAAACCATGAAGAACTGACACCCTAAAGAGCATTTATTTATACAATAAGACTCTGCATATTTAGTATGTTGAATGAAACGAAAGCCAAACAGCACATTATCAGGCTTGAGAATTACAAAAATACAAAAAAATGAACCCACTTCCAACCTTCTTAATCTCCTTGTTAAGAAGTTATTGTGAGGAAGATCCGGCTTGAGAATTACAGCTTAATGTTCATGCCATTCTATTTGTCAGAAAGGTATTAGGCAAGTCACACTTTCAGCAAGTCAACTCTTGAGCAAGGTATTGAGTTTGCAAGTTGCTTTGTTTATCAATAAGATCATTCGACATTGCAGATGGTATTCGGTGGCACTTCAAAATTTTTGAAGTTGCAACTTTTGCTAAACTATGGTTCAACACAATAACCCTATCATCATCCAAATCAAAGCGCACACTCTCTTTGCTACAGTTTTCAACAAGTTGGCATAAATGTTTCAAGTTCTCAACTTCTATCCCATTAACCTTCTTAACCTGCCACCAAGAGTTAAAATTTTTCATGAGACAGGTAAACAAGTAAATGTGCAAGATTGCCAAGTTCTATCCTGCAAACCTTCTATCATATCATTTACTTGGGCAAACAATAACATAGCATCAATGTAACCTCAAATATAATGGATACTGATGTGTTACGGAAATAGAATTAGAATTTTGCTCACACCTGTAACTCTGCAAGACGTTCATATCCTGCATTGATATCATCCATCAGGACCTGAACGAAATAAACAATTATCACAAAAATAAATATAATTGTAATTACTTGCTGAATCAGAAGAAAGTTCCTAACTGTGCTTTTGCAGTTGAATATAATATTTATAATACAGCAAAAGTAAAAATCAGCATTTTCTTCATGATAAACCAAATGGTTTTGCACCAAGTAGCACAGGACATATGGCTGCACTTCATCAGAAGACAACCGTCATGGACTCATCTAATTTTTCTCCCCAATCCCTAGTGAACACCAACTTAATCTTCATTTTGCTACATAGTAGGGATAGGGGTAGATGAACTTTCCTTCCTGCTTCAAACAAGATACTTTGGACCTCTGCCTTACATAACCAGTTCTAATATTCAGAGCAAGTAGACTCACCCTTCATTCCCAGATGACAACCCGAACCACAATATAATTAGTACTCATGCTTTTATGAAAATCCAATTTAAAGTTCCCGAAAAATGTCTCCTTGATTACATCACATTAAAAATGACGAAGCTAAACTTTGAAAGTTAATTTTGTATGTATAGTTCAACAATTCAATCCATGAACTTTTACAAGATGACTATATCTGGTTGCAAAGAGCGTGCCTTACATATGTATACGGTGCTATTACAGTATGTTAAAATGAAAATCCACATGAAGACAAGGATCAAACGTATACATAAATGTTTACACAAAATGAAGTATCTGTACGTACATCATCTACACTGTCTTTTGCAACAATATAGTTTGTTTCTGCGTCCTTTTAGCTAAATGTAAGAGTGGCACAATTTTCTTAAACTTTCATAAAACAAATATATCACAAATAATTTCTTTACATTCTTAATGCAATTCAAAGAAGAAAGATTAGCTATGCTGAAATTCATGATGAAATTGTTTTGTATCTATTTGTCTTTATGTATCTTTCTCTTTTTGTTTAAGTCTTCAGGTATCTAGGACATACCTCCATAAATTTTCTTTACATGATTCAATATCAATCGTCGGCCTTATTTGACGGATTTCAATCAGTGATTTCCAAAAATACAAACGTTATGAGAATGAACACATAGAATGACAGTTATAGTATTTTGAAGTTTGAGAAAGAAAAGCTATGATATTTTATCAACAATGAAAAGTTTAAAGTTAACAATTAAAGAGCATACTCTGGGTGGATTGTTAAAACACTAACATTTGTGTTGTACACATTCCCCATTCTAAAGTTTAAAGTAAGGATGTCTGTGACAGTATTTTATCTCTTCTCATGGCATTGCATTTGAACTAAATAAACATCACAGCTTCACATTCTTTTATCATTCTACGTTACAAAGTCTTCTTCGTGGCATATGCAACCACACAATCAACAAAACAATACTGATGTAAGACTCACATCACTTGAAAAAGATATGCAGACCTGAGAAAGGATGATGAGCTGTTCACCAGCCCTTTTTGGGGGTTCCCTTAATGCACTTTCACACAATCGTCGAGGTGAAGTATTATACCAGTCTTCTCCATACTCATGAAGGTACGGCTGAGTGAGTGGAACAAAGACCAAACCAGCAAAAATATAATAACTAGGGAGTTTATCGAACTGATGAACTGGAACTAATGGCTGCAACTGCATAATTCAACAACTAATAAAGAATTGCAAAACAACCAAACAACTCTAAATTGCATGGCAAAGAATATCTTCATTTCTGATTAAACAATGATAGCCATAAATTCTAAATTTCTATTTACCTCTAAATATTGAAGTTCTGAAATTTGCAGCGAGAACCAAAACCAATTACCATTACAATAAGATGGTAGTTCAAATTCCACAAGTACAAGAGCTAATAAACACAAAATGGACAATGACAGCACAACCAATTGAGTGTGGTTGCATAAAAGAGCTTTAGCAACTGCACAATTGAACAACTCAAAACTCAATTGCAAAGCAAGGAAATAACTCTAAATTGCATTGCAAAGAATATCTTCATCAGTGATTAGACAATCATAATCATATATCCTAAATTTCTATGTACCTCTAACCTATTGAAGTTTTAAATTTGCAGTGAGGACCAAACCAATTACCACCGCAATGAGATGGTAGTTCAAAAGTTCACAACTGGAAGTGCTGAATAAACAGAAAAATGCATAATGACAGAACAACATATTCAATATGGTTGCATAAAAAAGCTTCAGTGAGTTAATAAATTTTGTTTACAGAATCTGCTAGTCAGGTGTCACTAATCATCCTGTGCTAATACAGAAGAGGCTGAATATCACAAATATCACAAAGCAACAACGACCAAAATTTGATGACATCTAAAATTCTTAAGGCCAACAAGAGATGAAATAAATTAATAAGCATCATATGCACAAATATCTGAACGAGTTACTAAAACCATTGTGATTTAAGGAACAGCATTATGTGGCTTTGTCAAAAAAGTTCCCACATCTTACACCACACTTCCCTTCCTTACCATTTCTCTCCAACCACAACAAAATTAAACCAGAAATACATAGCCTAGGGCATGCTGAACAATTTAGCACTGCTGAGACCCCAACTCTCAAATACCGATCAGTGCTGAGCAAGTAAACAACCAATGTTCCATCTTTCTTGCACATATAATACCAACTACTCATAAAACAGTGTTTATTTGTTATCCATTCTAACCATGGGCAGCCTGACCTTAGCCTGAGAAAGTTGAGCCAGATCTTAAATAAACTCAATGGCCCAACAATTACAGGACAACCAAAATAATCTTATTCTACATAAATTTCTTGACTTTTGTCTTTCAAAAGATTGTTTCTCTAATCCAGTTACTTTTCTCCATTTGAATTACAACAAAAATTTAAAAAAAAAAAAAAAAATCTTAAATTTAAAAGACACCTGGTATCATACTTATGATTCTTCAAGATGGAGAAACCACTAAATTAAACAAACATTAAAAAATGGTGCTAAGACTTACAGGTCGAAGGGTGATATTGAATTCATACTCTTCACCGTCCCTCAAAACTCTAACTACCGCTGTTTCGTTGGGTTTCTTCATAGAAACCAAATGGTCAAATGTTATCCGCTCTCTGTTTCGGAAAGGAACTGCATTGTGCACAAATCATGCTACAAATTAAGAACACAAGGGGAAAACAAATATCTGATAAACAAAAAAACCTCCACTCTGCCGAAAAAAGGAAAATCTCTCCGAAAGATCATCACTGTTATCCAAACTCCTTAGGGTGACTTGGTAAGTTGGAGAAAGCTTTGTTTGCAGTAGCCAATCATACATTGTGATTGTTTCACACACATGTATTGGCATTGTAACTAGAAGTTGACAGCTGATTTCAATTTTAATGTCATTAATTCTTATTAATATCTCCACATTTGCATTGAAACAAGTCAAAAAGATGTCATTCTTGGTCCGACATGAGCAACAACCACACAAGATTGTTTTATTACAGTTAAGGAATAACAAGTGACTACCTGTTCCATCATTTGCTATAGGCACTCCATCAAAAGCAAGGATAATATCATCTTTCTTCAAGACTTTATAGGAATCTGAAAGAGGGTTAATTTTGCTCACTAATACCCCAGTCATTTCAGGGTGCATCCGAAAGTGGTTCCTCAGTTGAACATTTTCAATGGGCTGGCATGACAAACCCAGAGAGCAGAATCCGACATATTTTCCACTTTCTTCCACTCCAGCAATAAAATGCTTTATTACTGGAACAGGAATTATATAACTGAAAATTCCAACAGATGAAGAAAATATATTTAGCCAAAGTTAACAATGCTCTTAGAAGTAAATGCTCAAACTCGAGAGAAAAATGCTTCGTGATATATCACATAAATTTGTTTGCCTGTGGATTGGACTTGCGGTATTAAGCGTCAAATCACACCTTTGTTCTTGTTGAACCAGAAAGGTCGAAAAAATGAGTCAAATAGTGCAAGTATTCTAAAGCTTGTCGGATAAATTTTGATGATTCAAGACATAATCAGGGTAAAGTAAAAAACAAGGCAACAAAGTCAAACGCCACGCAAAGTAGAAATGAATTCTTGACCGCAAACAAAGCACTTCCACAGGTAACTGATTAGTCAACATGTCTAGCCAACAAAATGTCAATGAATATTGCAGGTAATGTCCTATAATCTAAACAAACTGAGCGATGACAATCTAAATTAAAATAAGACTTACCCAATATTTTCTGCACCAGAAAGGTTTTGAAAAGCTACACCAGCAACTTTATTGCCCATAATTGCTGGACCACCACTATTCCCTGGATTTATTGCTGCATCAATCTGTATTGCCATAAGCTGGGTTGCACCATGCACATATTGTGTGGGTTCGACCCTAGAAACAACACCTTTAGTAACAGAAATGTTGTCACCACCTGCGCCCAAAAAGCAAAGCATTAATTAAGTTAAACGTTATCACTTTGCACCATGCTTTCAGCCTTTCATTATTAATTCATTAAAGGTGGAACCCAAGTGCATTGGTATAACAGGATAAAAGCCCTTACACAAGGACAATGAACTAAAGAAGCTGTAAATTCAAAATAGGAAGATATCTAAAGAAGAATAGACACCCATCAATACATATGAAGAATGAAGAAAAGCATCTTTGAGATCAACAAAGAATCAATCCTTTCTTTAATGAGTCTGCCTATTCTTTGACACATATTAGAAGAGAACTTAGAAATATGGTTTGAGGATTTCTCCTCAAGTAGCTGCGTCAAAGAGTTTCATTTCATATTTCTGCCTTAAATTTTAATTATATAAGAAATATTGCATAGGTTTATTTTCAGTCAAGTCAGAATTCGCTCTATCAGCGGACCATGAGTCTAACTTTATGCTTTGGAGACTTTTTCTTTAATGCTTTAGAAGTTCCTACTCAACTTAGTTGTTCTTTTTCTAGTTTATTGAAGAGCCCTAGCAGGCCTCTGTGTAATGTCTTAACAAATATGCCTTCACTTCCTAGGTGTTGTTTCTTAGGGACACCTAGGTGTGCCTAGGGTTTTATTAACTATTTCTTACAACTATTCAATTTTCATATTTGCCAGAAATCCCTGCAACCTTAAGATTTGATTTCAGTATCACAACAGCCACTAGGATCCAATTTCTATAATACATAACCATGCTTAAATACCCTTGCTTCAAATGTAAACAATGAACCATCAAAATACCTAACTATAAATTGTTAAAGATACTTCATAAGATTTGGTACCACACCCACAACAGCTCTTCATCCTGTTCATTCTACTATTAAATTCACAAGTTACAAATAAACATAGGCATTAAGCAATGAAGTATCATGATAAATTATTTGGAACCCATTAAAGATAAACAGAGTTGTAGTAATAGTAAAATTTATCGTTACCTTGAGGATATCCAACAACAGCAACAGCTTCTTGCAGAAAAGGAATGTCTCCTAACTCGAGGGAATTCACACCATTCCAGAACTCTTCACTTTCAACACTTAAAATGGCTAAATCACATTCATGACCAACAGCTTTAACTTGCGCTCTATACTTCGCAGGAGAGCCATGCTTTCTTACAAGTACAAAGGTATGATCAGCCACTACATGAGCATTTGTCAGAATTTTCTTCCCAGGGATTACAAACCCTATATTATTAGGATAAAAGTAATTCTAATTTAGAAAGAAATTTTGAAAGTAAGGCAAAAGAAACTTGATGAACGTTAAAATCTAAAATTAACTAATGCAGGCAACAACAAAGTGGCAAAATTGAAGCTTCGAAAATGCAAGATATGTTAGGCACAATTGAAGGCTTTCCTGTGTGTTACTTTGCCGTAGTAAGCTGCTATTTTACATTTCTTTTATTTATTTATTTATCTGAACTGCTATTTTAGTTTTGTTTATGTTCGCTCAAACTCTTAGATTTGAGAAAGAAGAAATGAGAAAATGTTAGAGTTAGAGTACCGGAGCCCATGGATTCTCGCTGGGACTTGTTCTGCCAAGGAAGGAAGTAGTTAGGGCTGCTCGACACAGTGAAGATCTTCACCACTGAGTCCAACGCCAGCTCTATTGCATCCTTATCCGTCGTGCTCCTCTTATTGTTCCTCCGATCACCTAAACGCCGTCGTCTAAGTTTGTTGTTGTTCCCGAGGAGATGCACGTGCACTGCAGCTACTGAAGGGCATGGGCACGGCCCATTCTCATTGTAAGCTTCAGAGTTAAGTGGCTCGAAGGAACAAGAAGAAGAAGAAGCAGCAACATCTTCAACCTTAGCTGCGCCTATGGTACAAGTACAGATACTAGTCCCTCTTGCCGTTGCCGTTACCTTACTAGTATAATCTTTTATTAAGTTAATAGAGGAAACAGAAGATGAAGAGCAAAGCCTGCGGAGTGCACGGACGGAAGTTCCCAGCATCTCTTTGTTTTTGTCCTCGTTCCTCTTGGCAGTCGGTCTAATGTCTGAAACAAGAAAGAAGAGGAAGGCCAGAAAGAAATCAGAGATGGTGAAGAAGAAAGAATAACAACTGCCAGGGGTAGGTTTTGAGTTTATGGCTCAAACAATGGGCAGGGCTTACTGTCAGGCCCAACAAACGAAAAGAACCCTATGCGTTTTAGATCTTTTTCCCTTTCATTTCTTTTCCCGCTATCTTTTTCCCTTTCGTTTATTTTCCTTCAAAACGACGTCGTTTTAGGTATTTGAAAATGTAAAGTAAGTCAAAGCCCAAAAGGTCCAATCGTCTGATTTTTCTTCTTTTTTGGGCCAAGAAAAACTCCAATTTTGAGTTGACTGAGTTTCACGCTACGGGGGCCTTTTCGTGAAGTTAAGCAAGCAAAGCAAAGCGGAGAGCGTCCTCTCTGCAAAATCCTCCTCTGGACTGGAAGTTCTTCTGGTTGCGTGATTGACAAGTTTTTCTTCGTCAAAACAAAATCGGCAAGTTTTAAATCGTGGGAAATAAGCATGGAGTATGAACACCAGCTAATGGCGATGCAGATATCACCGGCGGATGCCCATGGGACCACTCCAGGGAAGGAACAGCAGGCTGCTGGGGTTGGCATTCTTCTACAGATCATGATGCTCGTCCTCTCTTTCGTCCTCGGCCATGTCCTTCGGCGCCACAAATTTTATTATCTTCCTGAGGCCAGCGCTTCCCTTTTGATTGGTATGTATCTAATTCTTCTTCCGAAAGAAAGTCTCGTGATTGATCGACTAGGCTTGGCCCATCCTTGTTCTATTTATTATTTCTAACACGGTGAATATTATTGGCAGGTTTAATTGTCGGTGGACTTGCTAACATCTCTAATACGGAAACTAACATTAGGTACCAATATACAAAGAGGAATTCAACAATTAAATTATAACCCCATGTGATGTGAATAATCATGTCTTCTTTCTGTTCCTTTGTGCAGGACGTGGTTCAATTTCCATGAGGAATTTTTCTTCCTATTCCTCCTACCTCCTATCATATTATATCCTAACTTTCCCGTGTTTTCTTTTCTTCAAATATTTCATTTCTTGCTCCAATTTACGTTAATTGGCTACTATGTACTGTTGTCCTTGACATTTTGGTGCTCACTCAGTCCGGGTTCAGTCTCTCACCTGTAAGTTTTTCAGTATTTTTGTCTCTGCTCTGATATAAATGCGTGTTTTCCTATCCTTTTGCCTTGAACCCATCTCCTTTCTAACGTGCTTTACTATTTTTGCTCCCATCTTCACAGAAACCTTTCTTCTCTAACTTTGGAGCCATTGTCACTTTTGCCATCCTAGGAACCTTAATATCTTCAGTTGTTACTGGTATTCTTGTGTAAGTTTTTGTTTTCATTCTCAAAAATCCTTTCATGATATTACAGTTTTTACCCCATCCAACTAAGTTAGGTTTATCTGTTCCCCCTTCGTGTTGCAGTTACCTTGGTGGTCTGATATACCTCACGTACAGACTTCCATTTGTAGAGTGCTTGATGTTTGGTGCTCTTATATCAGCAACTGATCCAGTCACTGTCTTGTCCATCTTTCAGGTGCTTTGTTGCTCCATTTTATATTTTTATAGTTAGCTCGTCAACATGCACACAATATTTCTTGATAGGTTTTACTTTGGCGAACCCAAGTTGCACAACCAAACAATGAACCAAAAACATATGGAATCATTTCCAGGATCAAGAACAAACCTATACCTTGTCTAGTATGGTTTGAAGATGCCCGAACATGTTTGGATCCTCACCCTCACCCCTCCCAAAAGAAAACATCAATATGGTTTCTGGAATTGTACTCAGTCATATAGTTTATCTAAGTTTTATCAATATCAGAGGTTACAGGTGCCTTTACCTTCTGATTGTCCAAAATTTGAATGAATTCTGAGATTGTTGTGATGACCTTGATTGAAGGAACTTGGCACAGATATGAACCTGTATGCTTTGGTGTTTGGAGAATCTGTTTTGAATGATGCTGTAAGTTTTTATTGTTATTTGTTTATAATCCATGTTTTTGATGTGTACATGTTCTGTCTAAAGATTGACTTTGTTTACTTGATGGCAATCAATAGATGGCAATTTCCTTGTACAGGTATGTAGAGTAAATTGTTGTTGTACCCAGAAGTTAGAAATATTGTTTGAACTTCAGTTCTAACTTGAGGGGTGTTCTGCTATGCAGGACAATGTCCTTGGTGAGAAGTCACGCATCGTCTGGACAGAACTTCTTCATGGTTATTGTGAGGTTTCTTGAGACCTTTGTGGGTTCCATGTCTGCAGGTAAATGTTTAAATCTCTTATGGTCTAATAATGAAGTATTTGACTCCTAATTGGTTTTGAAAATAGAATATTTTTTCTTCATCTGAAAATGTGGCTTATCATTTGTGTTTGGTATATTTGGAAAGAAGTTCATTAATTTTTCCATTTGGGTGTCAAGTTTTGTGATGTCAAATGCTGTGATAGTGGAGTGATGCATGATACATTTCCAACATTGAAAAGGTATAGATGGATGCTAATTTTATCTGCAAAGTGTGACTTGTGGCTGCCTCATGCATTTAAGAGACTTATTTAAAAGCAATTCTTGACTGTAAAGATGTTGTTATCCCCTTGTCATTCCTGTTTACTGAATTTTTCATTTATAATTGTTCAGTTGTTTTTGACCTAAGTAGTTTAAATCCTTAAAACTTTAAAGCCTCTTTTGATTGCTTTAGTATCTTTGACTAGCACAATTGATGGAAAGAACACCAGAAATGAAAAGATATTCAAAGAAGAGAATGACACCAATAAAAAAGAGTGAACATGTCTGAGACGGTTCATTTCTGTAAGAATACCTGTTGGCAAAAATGTGGGTGGTTCAGTTGATTCAGAATAATAGACTGGAAAAGAGTAAATGGGATATCATTATGATCAATAATAGAGTATGGGACTTTCTATACTGTTTATTGGCTAAGAGTTATTCATTATTAGGATTTCCAAGTAGTCTTGAAGACAGGAATTCATCGTACATGTAGTTCATGGATGGTGGTGCAATCACCTCTCATGACGTTGAAGCTGAGCCAAAATCTGTCCCACTAACCTGGCCAATCTCTTGGGTGAAATGACTGGGGTGACATGTGCCTCCCGAAATATTTTTCCATCGTTTGTTCTCGGCGGTGCTCTGAAGTTAAAAGAAGACCTAAGATCAAATGGTACTAATAACATATTAAATCTACAGACAATGGTACTTGAGACATCAGTTAGGTTGCAAACTTGCAACAAAAATAAACTTGAACCCGGATTGCTAACGAATGTACATATAGTTGCCAAATTAGAAGATAAGACTAACCAATTTGAGGCAATAGAGTTGTTCCCTTGTAAGTCCAGTAAACTTATGAGTCTCAGGTGTTTAATGGTCCCTTAACAGCAATGACTTTCTTTTTCCTGTTTTCTTTTCTCTGAAGTTACATAAGCGGCATGTGCTTTATATATTTAGATGTTTCATTACTGTTGCATTTTGGTTTCTCAGTTACTAACGTACATTGTATGTTTATTTACAGGTGTTGGAGTTGGATTTACTTCTGCTTTGATATCCTTTTTTATTAATAATTCTTGCACTATGTTTCCTTTTAAAAAAGCTTTTATTGGTAGATTGTATTGTGAAACCTTAATTGTCAATACCTTTTTAAGTATGCAGGGTTGGATATTGACAAGTGAGTGATACTTTTCTACTTTTCATTGCTCACCTTAGCTTAGTTACCACTGCAGTGGAATAACATGGTTGTCTCATTATCTTTTCAGTCTTCAGAACCTGGAATGCTGTCTTTTTGTCCTCTTTCCATATTTCTCGTAAGTGATCTTCTTGACTGTTTTTTCTTCTTGTGTAAATTAGTTGTAAGCCTTTTCTCCTTATAAACAAATTGATGTAGCACTATCTTCTGTCTAGTTATATGCTTGCAGAAGGTCTTGGACTGTCTGGTATTGTGTCAATATTGTTCACAGGAATCGTAAGTAAAAGTGTACAGTTTTTCTGTTTAATTAAATATCCTCTGTTAAATCTGTGTTATGGAAACACTGGTGTTCCGTTTTAGGTCATGAAGCATTACACGTATTCAAATTTGTCAGAGAACTCTCAACGATTTGTTTCTTCCTTTTTCCATTTGATATCATCACTAGCGGAGACATTTGTGTAAGAGAGCTCTTCATTGTCTTTATTACATATCAAGTAATTAAAATGTTCTTTACACATGACACCCCACACTTGTTTTGAAATGAAAACATTCATTTGCAGATTTATATACATGGGCTTTGATATTGCCATGGAACAACATAGCTGGTCACATGTTGGGTTCATTTTTTTCTCAATTGTATCCTTGAATAATTTGTCAAAAATGTGAAAGTTCGGTGATACTCTGGCAACTGAAACTTGCTCTTATTCCTTAACTCGGTGTGGGATTGCCTCAGATATTTATTGGAGTTGCAAGGTACGCATCCTTTTGTTTGCTACAATGAGCCCCTTGTCACAAGCTTATTTTATTAGTCTTTAGCTTTCTAAAATACTTTTAGACTTGTAGTATTCATTTTCCATTATCAACAAAACTATTAAACAGTCTGTCCAATCACTTTGTGCAGGGCAGCTAATGTTTTTTCTTGTGCATATTTGGTCAACTTGGTTCGACCTGCACATAGACAGATACCTTTAAAACACCAACGAGCACTTTGGTACAGTGGTAAGAAGAGCAGAAATTGCTGATCTTTCCGAATGCCTTGACTTTTATTAGTCTTTAATGAATTTTTGGGATTGAGTAGGACTTCGAGGGGCAATGGCTTTTGCCCTCGCTCTGCAATCAGTTCATGATCTTCCAGAAGGACATGGCCAAACTATATTCACTGCAACCACTGCCATAGTTGTTCTGACGGTACACAAACTGATTTCTGAATATCGAGGACATATTTTTCCTAACAGATTTGAAGATTCATACATCGTCTTGCCCTTTGTTAAAATATTAATCATGAACTGAATCTAAATAACACTTTGTCAAAATATTGCATTCCATGCCCTTAATGATAGCAAGTAGAAGTTTTTTGCCCAAATAAAAAGTTGTTGACAATATTATGTGCTCCTGTTTCTGTTTCACTGTATCCATACCTGGCACTTGCACTGGCAGATGTCTCTTTGAAATGGTTCTGTTTCAAAAGGGAGCTGAATTTTGTTTGGAGGGAACAAAATACCTTTGCTTATGCTGAAAAACGACTGAATTGTCTGCCGTAGACCATTTTATTTAGACTAATTGCCTCTGAATTTCTTATGAAGGCCTACCTTGTGGACAGAATGGAAAGCCATGTGATATAAGAATTTTTTTAAATGACTGTGCTAGCCTATTATTGAATGGAAAGTCACTTGGTCCTATCCTTTCATTTTCCCTACCGAAGGCAAAATGAAGTCGTTTTCTTATTGGCGGCTTTTTCATCTTATTTGAACATATTTGATTGCAGCTTCGTTTGTCATCTTGGACATACACATAAATTGACTTACTTATTTTACACCTTGCATATCAGGAACGAGGAATTACCCATATGATGTATTCTTTTTTCAGATGAATGACAACGATACTTGAATAAATATTTCCTTAAAAAAAATTGATTCAAATATACTTGTTTTGTAAGATGCATACGATACTGTTCTTGTGACTTAGTTGTAACCTTCTGACCATTTTGTAGGTGTTATTAATTGGAGGTTCAACGGGTACCATGTTGGAAGCTTTACAAGTTGTAGGTGATGGCCTTGAGGGTACTTTGAGTGAAGTAAGTTCTTAAGCTCCAAGAAAAGGAAAAAAAAAAAAAAAACATACGTTCTACTTAATTACTTATTATTCTTTGCATTCTAGGAACCATAAGAAAAGAGTTCTGTGTATTTGTGACGGCCAAATTTGCTACTTGAACCTACATTACTTATATAGGAAACAGATTAACCATCTGTGTGGGCATTTGGTTCACAGTTTCCTCGTAAAGTTTTTTCTGGATATTTAATTATACTATTGTAACGTTAGCCCTAGAGGATAAGAACTGATGTGGGTCATTCTGATCATCCAAGGCTACTCTTTGCTATAATTATCCCAGCTTTAGTGGGTTAGTGAGAATATTTTGATCCCCATAGAGACGATTACTTATCTTCTATAAGCTCATACAAATGCCAAGGGTTTTGGGTCCTTTACTTTCTTCTGTCTCTGTCACTGTCACAGGGCTCAGTAGATGTGCTTAAGACACTCCACATGCACCCAGCCACAATGCTGACATTGTAGGACTCTCTCACATAACCCAGAGTCTGCAGCCCACAGCTCTCAACCCAAGTTGTTTAGTGTCTTGCATATATGGTAGTGTGGTTTCAGTTAGAAAATCACAGTTGGTTGTTTACCGAAGTTGATGCTCTCTGTCTAGATAATGGCTGACGGAAGTTTTAACAGATGGTGCATTCCTTCCTGACAGAGAGTGCAAGGTTTGGATTTGGGGAGTTATCTCTTTCTGTCTGACCATTGGGTTCATATCTATGCTTTACAAGCTCCTTTGAGAATAACAACAGAGTGACTGCCTGGACAACATTTGTTTGGGCAATTCTGTTAAAGGAGTTTTGGTTAGAGTGGGACACAAATAATATTTTTTTATATCACTACGATTGGTTTATTCTGGAGAGAGTAGGTCATCATATGTATGGTCATTGATTGCTGGTGCGAAATTTGAAGTGGTTTGGATTACCTCATAGAAAGTTATATGTAAAATGAGAGCTGAAGCCGGCAATTTTGGATCATGTTCTGAAGTTCTATGTAGATCACCATTCAATTATGTGCAAAGATGTTTAACATACTGCCTGAACCATTGATTGTCCAATTATTTCCCTCCTTCCCCTACTATTCTATATTATTATATTTTGCCACATCTAACTAGTCCTGCTCATCCAAATTTTTTATTCAGATTGATGGGATCACGTGGTTGAATTAGGATAGCAATGCTACTTTCATGATCACTGTGATCTTGCAACTCACCAAAGCTGACTATTTTGGATATTTGTGCTTATATTTCCAGAGTTTTGAAGGGAACAATGGCTATATTGCTCCTTCTTATAACGAGGAAGCATCATCAGGAAACAGGATCAAGATGAAACTCAAGGAATTCCACCAGAGGTAACATTTGGTTGCTAACTTCATAAAGGAACCTGGTTTTTACCTTTGATTTATTTGCTAAGCGTCTAATTCTACCCTCCAACCCTTTATCTTGCAGCACAGCGTCATTCACAGCTTTAGATCGGAACTACCTCACACCGTTCTTTACAAGTCAGAATGGTGATGAAGTGGAAGAGCTTGGTAAGATAGAATTGGCATGGATCTCCTCCAGTTACTTCCATTGGTCTACTATAAAGAGATAAGACATTATCCATGATCCAAGCAAGTATTTCATTTCATGATTTTAATTTATTTTCCTTTTTGTTATTTGTATTTTCTTAACAGATGAGCCAATGCCTAGCTCTGCAAGAGGGGGTTTCCAAGGTCATGGTCAACATTCTCGGTGATTTGTTTTTCAGGAACAGATATGGTAAAAGATGAAGTCAATGTTGTATATAGACGTTCGTCATAAAAATGGCTTCATAGGTGAAAGGCACAAATCCACTAATATCAAATTTTTGTAGTTATTAATAGAATTTGTAAATACTGGATTGAACCATCTGTACTTAACTTTGTTCATTTAGTGCCTGTATAATTCTTAATTTCTTGTTTATGGCACTTGAAATTGAAATTGTGTGATTGTCTTCATTAGCTTATATATTATTAAAATCCATTTCTTGTGTTGCCTGTTTTCACATCTTTTAACTCCTCAGCTGTGCAGTGAAATCTGCTCAGCAAGGGATTCCCCAGTGATTTTTTTTAATTTTATTTTATGTTATTGGGGTTTGACTTCTCCCTGTGCAGTGAAATCAAGGATAACCTGCTATTCTCACCTTCAGCTTGTCAGTATGCATTCGATCTGTGTGTTTTAGAACTAATTAAAAATTAATTTAGAGGTACATATGACAAACCCATAGAAGGAGTAGTAGTTTGCCTGAACAAATCTCCGTCCCTAGTTTCAGCCAAGATGGCGTTCCGAAGTTCGCTATCACAATAATAACTAGAAGATGCTGATACACAGGTAAGTTTGATATATGCTGGAGTGCAACAGTTTTCGTGTAATTATTTAGTGCTTTATTATATTAAATTTTGTCTAGGATTTAATTTTTTTTTTCAACTAACGTATTTGTTGGTATTTCCAAAGTTTCAACAAACTCCCTACTTCGTTTATATATTTATGACATTTTTTAATTGACGTATTATGTGGCTGTCCACTTCATACGCCACATAAGATGGTATGAGAATGTGATATACAAATGTGGTAATTTAAATACAAATTTATAAATAAACTCAATCCTAGACATGTATTTATAAAAAGAACCTCAACACTATTTAAACATAGAAACACACCCAAAATCAACCCCAAAGTCAACAAATGTATAATTTTTGGGTGTGTTTATAAATGAGTTTGAGTGTGTAATGATGGGTACTTGGTGTGTTTATAAAGTGTTTTGAGTGTTGAATTTTTTTATAATTTCAGCTTTCATTTTAGGTGTTTTAGTGAAACTCCCAAAATCATAACAAGGGGAGTGGACGAAGGAGGGAGGAGTGTCGCTGACGAGGGGATGGGGGTGGGTGACAATATTTGTTTTTTTTAACAGCTTTCTTTGTTTTTATTCTTCCGTTTTCTTTGTTCGAAGAGGGTAAAAAGGGAATTTTTGGTAGCATCCCCTATTTTATTTATTTATTATCCGGTGCCCAATATTTCAAAAATTGAACCGTTAGGACTTGACAACGGCTAGTTCTTTGTTTCGTTCCTAAATTTGCACCCCAAGCTCTGTTTCGCTTTAAGGCTTCTGGTTCAACCAATATTAGAGGACCGGCGGATTGGAGAAGAGCCCATTAAAGGAGTCGGTCGGGAGAAGGTACCGCTTAACCTCAATTCTCAAATTGGGAGTCTAGGTGAATTCTAACATCATTCTCAGATTCGGTTATATGTGCTTGCCTCGATTGTTTTGTGTGTTTATTAAAGAATATGGATCAATTGATGGTGGAAAGTTGCGGATCTGCCACCGTAGAAGACGCAGCAGCTTGCGCTCCTCCCCATCCTCCTCCTCCTCCTCCGCCGACTGCTCACCGGAGGCCAAGAGTGAGGGAGGTGAGCTCTAGGTTCATGTCTCCTGCGGTTTCCACTGGTGATCTCCCTCATCCCCTGCCTACTAAATCGCCCCTCCCGAAACATCATCAACATGGCATCTCAACTCCAAGCTCGACGCTTGCGGAAATTCAGTCGAGGCAGCGCTCTTCCTCGGTGAATAGGCGGCGGAGGCACTTGGACTTGGAGCCCTTCCGCTGCTCCGACGAGAACAGACCCACCGGCTTCTCCTCCATTCACACTCCGAGTCAGAGTTGGGAAATCCCTCTCCCACCGGAACAGATGCTTAATTATACTGGGAGGAAACAGCGTCCTGTGAAGCCATTCAAAGAAAACGGAGGCGGCAGAGTCCAACAGCAACAGCAGAAGCAGCATCTTACAAAAACCTGCACCGGGAAAGGCAGCAATGCTTTTACCACACCCTCAAGACCTGATACACCCATGGTGACTGCTAGTCTAGATAGGACGTCTAGATTCAGACTCATTCAGCAACGGTCTACCAACATCACACCCACAGCAGCCGCTAAGCTCTTGCAGTCTAGCGGGATGTCTTTACCTGCTCCACCTACCAATCTAGTTACTGAGACTGAGGCAAACACCCAAGACGCCACTTCTGCTCCCCAACTTGATCCTTCTTCACCAAGTTCACTTCCCGATGTCAATAATCAGAGTCAAATGCCAGTTGTACCAAGCTGCTCAACAAGGTGTCTTCCTCTGAGGCCGATTTGTTGCCATCCGTTTCTAGTAGACAGCTCGTTGACAAAAGTAGCAGCAGCAGGGGTAATGCAACTGTCACTGTCAGTGACGATTTTTTTAAATGTTCTGCTTCCCCTTGCTCCCGTTCTCTGAAATTGCCATTATCAAGTTCCGACATCTTATCCTTCCAGCCAAACAAAGGGAGTGAAAGATTAACATCTGTGCTGTCCAAGCCATATACAAACACAGGGAAGATGGGTGGCTTATGTCTTCCCCCTGTCCCACCATCTACAAGTGCAAAGCTGAGCTCAGATACAAGGAGAGGAAAGAAAGTTTCTGGACACCTAGAAGACGTGCACTCCTTGAGAGTGCTTCATAACCGCTATCTGCAGTGGAGATATACCAATGCAAGAGCAGAGGCTTCCATGCGAGCACAGCAGAGAGAAACTGAGGTAAGTCATATTTGAGTGCTCAAATGTCAAATTCTTAAAAAAGATTGTCACTTCTATGGCTCAATTGTGAATTCTAAGTCGAACTGATAAGGACAAAGTGCTTGCTTTTCCAGCTGATTAACTTTCTCATGTCTTTCTGTTATTATATATTGTAGAGAACACTTTATTCTCTTGCGGTCAAGATAGCAGAACTATATGATTCTGTCAAGAGGAAACGGACAGAACTCGGCATTTTGCAAAGAACAGAGACTTTATCAGCAATTCTTGATGCTCAAGTAAGGCTGCCAGAATTTCATGATTGCTTTACACATCTCATGCAGTAATATTGTATATGCTTGATTAGCAATTTCATCGATTCTTATAATGATCCATACCTTGAATAAACGCATTTGTTAGGTATATTTCTTGTTGAACTTAAAATAGTCTGCCTTGTAACCTAGCCTTCAAGAAAAGATATATGCTTGCAAGTGACAGGAATTATCTTTAGCTTGTAGACTGTATGTATAGTGGAGACTGGATCTTTTATGCTGAGCACAACTTAGCCATGAAGAATCGTGCTGTGCCTTTCATTCTCATATGACTAGTATCTGTATAGCAATGTAACTTTTGGTGTTACATTTCTTGCATAAACGTTTTTGTTAGGTATATTTATTGTCGAACTTAAAACAGTCTGCCTTGTAACCTAGCCTTCAAGAAAAGATATATGGTTGCAAGTGACAGGAATTATCTTTAGCTTGTAGACTCTATGTATAGTGGAGATCGGATCTTTCATGCTGAACACAACTTAGCCATGAAGAATCGTGCTTTGCCTTTCATTCTCATATGACTGGTATCTGTATAGCAATGTAACTTTTGATGTTACATTTCTTGCATAAATGTATTTGTTAGGTATATTTATTGTTGAACTTAAAACAGTCTGCCTTGTAACCTAGCCTTCAAGAAAAGATATATGGTTGCAAGTGACAGGAATTATCTTTAGCTTGTAGACTGTATGTATAGTGGAGACCGGATCTTTCATGCTGAGCACAACTTAGCCATGAAGAATCGTGCTTTGCCTTTCATTCTCAGATGACTAGTATCTGTATAGCAATGTAACTTTTGGTGTTATATCATCTCACTTCGCCAGAAAGATTCAGTTGAGAGTTCATAAATTTTCATCAAGTCATACTAACCAGTTTGAGCAACACTAATCCATCCTCTCTTCTGAGGCAATGGAGCTGTGAAAGAGAAAAGCACAATAGTTGTTGTGAAAACTATAGGATTTCAAAAGCATTGGAGGTATTTACTCTTTTGTGGTGATATTTCTAAGAAATTGATGACCGAAAGGGTATATTTTGAATTCATATGAAAAAATCCTATGACTGGACTTCTTTATCTTCTTTAATGCTTTTATTCACAATGGCATATGAATTTTACAGTTAGAAACTCTTTTTCAAACTGTGTTGTTCACAGTAATTCTGCAAATTTTAGCTGTTGAATAAAACGTACAAGTAGTGAGATATTGCTATGGGTCCTGAGAGATCACAATTTTTTTTTTGCAAATGCTATGTATAACGTGGTCTGCTGACAGTAAGACTGCAGTTAAGTAAAAATATAAAAGCTTTAAACTGTAACACACTTTCAGTGTGTCTAACATTGACGCACTTATTTGCTGTTCTAGTTTATGGCATATGTACCCTAAGCGTGGTGTTCAGCACTAAGAAATTGAAGTAGCCACATTTTAACTTGTGTTCTATTAAAAAAGAAATACTGAATTCTGTTTGTAACTTACATGTTCTACTGGACATTATCTTAGATTCCGTATTTGGACCAGTGGTTTGCTCTTCAAGGGGATCATTCAAGTTCTCTGGCAGAAGCAACACAAGCTTTGTCAAATGCCTCATTTCAACTTCCAATCAGTGGCAATGTTAGGGTATAATTCCTCTGTTTAATTATGGCTTCTGTTGTGTAACCAATGTTCAACTTATGTTTCTTGTATTGCTTTGTAACACTGACTTGAGATATACTTTGTAGGTCGATCTACAAGAGGTAAAAGAGGCACTGAACTCAGCAGTGGAAGTGATGGAGATCATAGATCTCCAAGTTCAGCAATCTACAGCAAAGGTAAAATAACTAGGAGACTTTTTCCTTTGACAATCAACAAGTGGATATTTTACTTTTTATCATAAGTGATGGCACAACTGACAAGAAGAAAAATTTCATTGTAGTGGGAAAATCTAATGATACAAATAGGGTGAACAAGTTTATTCTAGATTCTAAGAATCAAATTTTTTAGAGAGTTGCCGCACTGCACAGGGTTGGGTGCTTGCTGATAGAAGTCAGCATAGCTTAAGAATAGATGGATACAAATGCAAAATTAAGGCCCCGGTAACCATTTTGTTTTTGGTTTCTATAAGACCTCGTTTTGTAACCTCTTTGTTTTTGGTTTTTAGTTTCATTCTTTTTGTTGGAGATAAAGAGGAATAATGGATGAAAAGGGAAATGGATAATGGTGGAAGGAGGCTTGGTGGGGGAGTTATGAGGGAGAAATGAAGGATAATGAATAAAGCAAAAACTATTAGAACTAAATAAAAAAAGTTTGGTTTTAGTTTTTAGTTTTCATTTTATCTAGCATACAAAAAGGCCCTAAGTGAATTGTTTCAAACTTAATTAATTATATACAAGGAGAATTTATATTGTGGATGCAGTTCTTTTGAATTCTAATTAAGGATAATGAATAAAGCAAAAACTTTTAGAACTAAATAAAAAAAATTTGGTTTTAGTTTTTAGTTTTCATTTTATCTAGCATACGAAAAGGCCCTAAGTGAATTGTTTCAAACTTAATTAATTATATACAAGGAGAATTTATATTGTGGATGCAGTTCTTTTGAATTCTAATTAAACATAAATTATTTTGGTTGTGAAGATTGTGTGATTCAATGAGAACTTGATGTATCTCGCATTTGTTTCGGCTTTAATGAAGAAAGCTTTTGTGATTCAGGCAGAAGAAACAGAAAATTTGATTTCAGAACTAGCCAGAGTGACTGGTGGAGAAAGAGCTCTTATTGAAGAATGTGGAAATATGTTGTCCAAGACATATACAACGCAGGTTTGCCAACCTCAATCCGCTTATATTATATCTGACAGTTATGAGTTTTATGAGTTACTGCATGATAGTGCCAATCTATGTTCTTTTCCTCTTGAATGCAATATTGTTTAAACCCTGCTCATTACTAACATTACCAGGAAATTTTATTTAGAAATTATGCTCTACTTTCAGGTGAAAGAGTGGAGCTTAAGGGGCCAGATAATCCAGTTGAAACGTTGCTGTTCTTGAAAAGCATTTCTTCAACGAAGACTGAGCAATGAAATGCTTATTGTGTTGAGAATGTCTTCTTTATTTCTTTGCTGCGAAGTGCAAACTTATTTGTTACGATTTGAGGCCCTACCCTCCATCTCTCTCTCTCTCACGCGTTATATACAACCCATTCTTCACAGAGAATCCATTTTTAACAGGGATCGCAGGTTGTACAATACAATTTGATGATCCGAATTGTTCAGGAATTCAAGAATTATATTTACAAAAAGTCACACAATAAGTCCATCTCAAAAAAAGAAATCATTATAATACAACTAAGTACTCCTACAAACGCATAAAGTTATCCAGTATTTATGTTCACCATATGATCACAGCTTATTCTATTTTCTATATGACAACACTACCTATAGGATTGAATTAGGGTTCAGTCATATTTCTTTGTTTCAGCCCTACTTACACCTCCTCTATATGCCTTTGATTTGTCCAACCCAAGATCACGGAACAGACAGGTGTTGTTGTATTGGTTCAGTTTTTTTGGTTCACGTTTCTGTAGAGCTTTTGTGTCCATTAGAACCCTCAATCTCGAATTTCAATTCGCATACTTTTTCCAATGAAATTGGACACTTCTTGCCTTTGATCTGTCCAACCCTAGCTCACGGAACAGACAGGTGTTGTTGAATCGGTTCAGTTTTTTTGATTGATGTTTTTGCAGAGCTTTTGTGTTGATTAGAGTCCTCAATCTCTAATTTGAATGCTCATACTTTTTCCAATGAAATTGGACACTCCTTACCTTTGATCTGTCCAACCCTAGCTCACAGAACAGACAGGTGTTGTTGAATTGGGTCAGTTTTTTCGGTTCACGTTTCTGCAGAGCCTTTGTGTCCATTAGAATCCTCAATCTCTAATTTGAATTCCCATACTTTTTCCAATGAAATTGTACACTCCTTTCCTTTGATCGGTCCAACCCTAGCTCACGGAACAGACATGTGTTGTTGAATTGGGTCAGTTTTTTCGATTCACGTTTCTGCAATGTTTTTGTGTCCATTAGAATCCTCAATCTCTAATTTGAATTCTCATACTTTTTCCAATGAAATTGGACACTCCTTACCTTTGATTTGTCCAACCCTAGCTCACGGAACAGACATGTGTTGTTGCATTGGTTCAGTTTTTTTTGTTCATGTTTCCGTAGAGCTTTTGTGTCCATTGGAACCCTCAATCTCAAATTTGAAATGTCAAACATTTTCCAATCAAATTGGACACTTATTGCCTTCGATCTTTCCAACTCTAGCTCACGGAACAGACATGTGTTGTTGACTAGGTTCAGTTTTTTGGTTCACGTTTCTGTAAAGCTTTTGTGTCCATTAGAACCCTCAATCTCGAATTTGAATTCTCATACTTTTTCCAATCAAATTGGACACTCCTTGCCTTTGATTGTTCCAACCCTAGCTCACGAAACAGACAGGTGTTGTTGAATTGGTTCAGTTTTTTTGGTTCACGTTTCTGTAGAGCTTTGGTATCCATTAGAACCCTCAATCTCGAGTTTGAATTCTCATAGTTTTTCCAATCGAATTGGGCACTAATTGCCTTTAATTTGTCCAACCCTACCTCACGGAATAGACAGGTGTTGTTGAATTGGTTTAGTGTTTTTGGTTCACGTTTCTGTAGAGCTTTTGTGTCCATTAGAACTCTCAATCTCGAATTTCAATTTCATTACTTTTTCCAGTGAAATGGGACACCCCTTACCTTTGATCTGTCCAACCCTATCTCACAGAACAGACAAGTGTTTTTGAATCGGTTCAGTTTTTTTGATTGATGTTTTTGCAGAGCTTTTGTGTTCATTAGAATCCTCAATCTCTAATTTGAATTCTCATACTTTTTCCAATGAAATTGGACACTCCTTGGCTTTGATCTGTCCAACCCTAGTACACGGAACAGACAGGTGTTGCTGAATTGGTTCAGTTTTTTCGGTTCACGTTTCTGCAGAGCTTTTGTGTCCATTACAATCCTCAATCTCTAATTTGAATTCTCATACTTTTTCCAATGAAATTGGACACTCCTTGCCTTTGAACGGTCCAGCCCTAGGTCACGGAACAGACAAGTGTTGTTGAATCGGTTCAGTTTTTTTGATTGATCTTTTTGCAGAGCTTTTGTGTTCATTAGAATCCTCAATCTCTAATTTGAATTCTCATACTTTTTTCAAAGAAATTAGAAACTCCTTGCCTTTGATCTGTCCAACCCTAGCTCATGGAATAGACAGGTGTTGTTGAATCGGTTCAGTTTTTTTGATTCATGTTTTTGCAGAGCTTTTGTGTTCATTAGAATCCTCAATCTCTAATTTGAATTCTCATGCTTTTTCCAATGAAATTGGACACTCCTTGCCATTGATCCGTCCAACCCTAACTCACGGAACAGACTGGTGTTGTTGAATTGGTTCAGTTTTTTTGATTGATGTTTTTGCAGGGCTTTTGTGTTCATTTGAATCCTCAATCTCTAATTTGAATTCTCATACTTGTTCCAATGAAATTGGACACTCCTTGCCTTTGATCTGTCCAACCCTAGCTCACGGAACATACAAGTGTTGTTGAATTGGGTCAGTTTTTTCGGTCCACGTTTCTGCAGAGCTTTTGTGTCCATTAGAATCCTCAATCTCTAATTTGAATTCTCATACTTTTTCCAATGAAATTGGACACTCCTTGCCTTTGAACGGTCCAGCCCTAGCTCACGGAGCAGACGGTGTTGTTGAATCGGTTCAGTTTTTTTGATTGATGTTTTTGCAGAGCTTTTGTGTTCATTAGAATCCTCAGTCTGTAATTTGAATTCTCATACTTTTTCCAATGAAATTGGACACTCTCTGCCTTTAATCTGTCCAACCCTAGCTCACGGAACAAATTGGTGTTGTTGAATCGGTTCAGTTTTTCTGATTGATTTTTTGCAGCGCTTTTGTGTTCATTAGAATCCTCAATCTCTAATTTGAATTCTCATACTTTTTCCAATGAAATTGGACACCTCTTGGCTTTGATCTGTCCAACCCTAGTTCACGGAACAGACAGGTGTTGCTGAATTGGTTCAGTTTTTTCGGTTCACGTTTCTGCAGAGCTTTTGTGTCTATTACAATCCTCAATCTCTAATTTGAATTCTCATACTTTTTCCAATGAAGTTGGACACTTCTTGCCTTTGAACGGTCCAGCCCTAGGTCACGGAACAGACGGTGTTGTTGAATCGGTTCAGTTTTTTTGATTGATGTTTTTGCAGTGCTTTTGTGTTTATTTGAATCCTCAATCTCTAATTTGAATTCTCATACTTGTTCCAATGAAATTGGACACTCCTTGCCTTTGATCTGTCCAACCCTAGCTCACGGAACATACAGGTATTGTTGCTGATATTTTTGAATTGATTCAGATTTTTTGATTTACGTTGTTTCAGATGTTTTCTGTCCCTTCGAAGCCTCAATCTCTAATTTGAATTCTCATACTTTTTTTCAATCAAATTGGACACTCGTAGCATTTTCTTATAGACATGTGGTTTTGAATCGGTTCAGTTTTTGTCATTCAAGTTTTAGTAAATATTTTGGGCCCATTCGAATCATCAATCTCTAATTTGAATTCTCAAGTATTTTCTAATCCAATTGGACACTCCTAGCTGATGCTACAGTCAACCCTAGATCACGGTTTAGACTGATATTTTTGAATCGATTCAGATTTTTTGGTTTGTGTTGTTGCAGATGTTTTGTGTCCCTTCGAAGCCTCAATCTCTAATTTGAATTCTCATACTTTTTCCAGTTAGATTAGACACTCCTAGCCGTTTCTTCAGCCAACCCTCGCTCACGATACTGACATGTATTATTGAATCAGTTCAGTTTTTTTCATTCATGTTTTAGTAGATCTTTTGTGTCCATTCGAATCCTCAATCTCTAATGTGAATTTTCAAACGTTTTCCAATCAAATTGGACACTACTAGCCGATGCCACAGTCAACCTTAGCTCACGATTTAGACTGATGTTTTTTAATCGATTCAGATTTTTTGATTTACGTTGTTCCAGATGTTTTGTGTCCATTAGAATCCTCAATCTCTAATTTGAATTCTTGTACTTTTTCCAAAGAAATTGGACACTCCTTGCCTTTGAACGGTCCAGCCCTAGC